TATATATATACATATTCATTTTTAAAAAAAGGAATGGTCGGAGGCTATGATACGAGGTTTGATCATCCCTCATACGCCTATAATTTAAGTACCGCACCCAACACTAAGGGGGAATCGAACCCCAGACCAGAAGAGACTTACAACTGACAAGCAGATGCCCAACCAACTGATCTGAGTACGTGACGCATATATATATACATATATATATGTCGTAGAAAGTAGTTATATCATCTCAAGTTTATTCTTCCTTTCATCCGCTCGATTTCTGTGATTCCATTATGGACAAAGGATCTCATTCGGTGCTAAAACCCACAGACCAGGCTAAAGTGTTGGTTGTCCTTGGTATAAGACAACGTCCGCATGAAGATTAACATCTTTTGAGAAAATAGGTTGAATGCCTTTTTCCTTTGCTTTTATTCTAATAAATAATAATATGTACAATCTGTTTTAGGTAACCTAATAAATATACATACTCTAAATATATTCAGCTATAAGGAAAGAATATGTACAATTAACAAGAGAGGTAAATGGCGAGAGAGAAATTGGAAACAATTTAAATAAGGAAACTCCAAATTATAGGAAACTCCTCAATCAGCTGCCTGATTTATGATATTCTTGATTAATATCCCTCCTCAAATTGATGTTGACTGAACAAAAGCATCAATTTGTCAACAATAAACTGATGATGCTGCCCAGAAAGAGCCTTAGTAAATATATATCAGTTGTTTGAAGACCTGAAGAGATATGAGGAAGATAAATAACACCATGATCATAAGTTTCTTAAATAGAATGACAGTTAACTTCAATGTGTTTCGTGTGCTCATGAAAGACAGGATTAACACTAATTTTGATACCACAAGTATTAATTGCATAAAGAGAAGTAGATTCAAGTAGACGAAAACCAAGCTCAGTCAGCAAACCCAGAAGCCAAATGATCTCAGAACAAGTAGAGGACATAGCACGATATTCAGACTTAGTAGAAGACTTAAACACTCGATCTTGTTTCTTACTCTTCCAAGAAATTAAAGAGTTACCGAGAAGCATACACTAACTAGTAATAGATCGATGTGTATCAAAACCAGCTCAATCAACATCATTATATGTTGTTAAGTGAATAGGAAATTTTGCGGAGAAGAACAAACCATGATAAGAGTACCTCTTAAATGCCTAACAATACGTTGAATTGCAACTAAATGAAGATATGTAGCAGCTTGCATAAATTGACTAACCTGTTGCACAACAAATGAAATATCATGACGTGTAATAGTCAGATAATTGAGACTCCCAACAAGTTGTCGATACAGAGAGATGGATTAGATAGAAAGTCAAAATTATTTCGTTGATATTTAACATTCGCTTCCAAAGGAGCATCAACAGGACGACCCTATTGGAGACCAGTCAAAGCAATGAGTACCTTGGTATAGTTCTGTTGATGAAGAAAAACACAAGCGGGATACGAGTGAACCTTTGGACCTAAGAAATAAGTTAAGGACCCCAAATCCTTCACATGAAAAGAACCCTAAAGAAGCTTTTGTAACTGAGACATCAATTGAGTATCAGATACGATGATAACAATATCAACATAGACTAATAACAGAACAATTCTTTTGTCAGCCTTGTAAAGAAACAATGAAGAATCATACTGACTTTGAATAAAGGAGAAGCTAGGAAGAGTTTTGCGAAACTTTTCAAACCAGACTCGTGGGGCCTGTTTCAAACCATATAGAGAGCATTTGAGTTTACAAACATCATATGAGGGTGTGGAAAACAAGCCTAGAGGAGTCATATAGATATCTTCCTTGGGGTCCCCATGTAAAAATGCATTCTTAACATTCATCTGTCGTAAGCACCAGCATTTAGATGCAGTAATAGATAGAACAAGCCGAACAGTTGTCATTTTTGTCACAGGTGCAAAGGTCTTTTCATAATCAATCTCATATTTTTGTCGATTGTCACGAACTACCAATCTTGTCTTATATTTGTCAAGAGAACCATCAAATCGGAGCTTAAGAGAATAAACCAATTTACAACCAATGAGTTTAACACCTGCAGAACATTAAACAATATCTCAAGTGTAATTGTATTGAAGTGCCTGAAGTTCCTCTTGCATGATTTTTATCCAACAAGTCTGTTTAGCAACCTGAAAATAAGAGGCAGAAACTGTAGTATTAGTTAAAATTGCAGAATAGTCATATCTATTTGGAGGACGAATGTGCCGAGTTGATTGTCGAAGAATCATTGAAGCATTTTCAGGAGCAAAGTCGGGGAGGACTGGAGATGAAGAAGGCAGGCGTCGTTTGTAGACCAGCCCAGGCTTTAACCGTTTATTAAAAGAAAAATTATCAAAATGAGGAAGTAAAACAATATCAGTTCTCTTGAAAGAGGGTGTTGAAAATAAGTATTCATGTTCAAAAAAATCACATCCCGAAAGATACGCTATCGATTATTAATCGAATTATAACACAACCTTTATGATTAGAGCTGTAACCATAAAAGCACATCGAACTGATTGGGCTGCCAACTTATGACGTTCATAAGCAGGTAAATGAACAAAACAAACACATAAAAAGTAAGTAGTATATAATATTTAGGATGTTTACCAAACATTCGATAGTAGAAGAATAAAACTTCAATTGTTGAGATGGTAAATGATGAATCAGATAAACTGCAGTAGATAAAACTTCAGTCCAAAACTTAGTTGGAACAGAATATTCTAACAGCAAAGTGCGCATCATATCCAACAGATGTCAATTTTTTCATTCTGCAACTCCATTTTGTTGAGTTGTATAAAGAGATGAACGTTGTGAAGTAATATCCTTGTTATGGAGAAATGCTTGAACCTCATAAGACATGTATTCA